GAAAATGCTATTGCTTGCGCATTTGTTCAGAGAGCAGAGAAACTCTCATGTAATCACTCCTGCCTTTGTGTCAGATCTAACAATCCCACAGGGACACAGAATTTTATTAGCAGCACAGATGACTGAACATGCTGACAAAAATTCTCCACAAACATGAAACTATCCCTGAATCTAGTCTCAGATGAGAGCTCACTTGGTGACATTTTATTTTTGTCTTTTGCTTATGTACATTTCTTTTAAGACAGGTTTTACATTTGGAACACAATGAGCACCAATAGTCAAACAGAGGGTTAGCAGCTGTACACTTTGTTAAATCATGTTGTTGGACAAGCAAATGGGAAGGGACTGTAAAATCTAATTGGTCCTGCATGAATTTCAGAGTCCCAAATTTATGATGTCTGGCGTACATGCATCTGCAGGCCTAAAATAGGTTTCTTCTTTATCAATCCCCATTTCCTTTGGCATATATACTAAACAGAATAAAATGCCAGAAACCTAAAATTGCAGTTTGATGACTTTTTAGATTTATATCTACCTTAGTGATAAACTTTCTGATCCAGATTAGTAACACTCACATCACCCAAGAACAAGGTGATTTCTTTGCCAACCAGAACCTCCCAAATAACTATCACCTCATTTTTACGGAAAAGATTAAATGTGATTTAAATAATTAAAAAAAAAACCCTGGGTATTATTTTGTACCAAGATTCAGAAAATTCCCTAAAGAAGTTTGTTGGAAAAAAAACCCTAAATAACAAAACGTAATTGGTAGATTTAACAGAGTTAAGTACTTTATTTATAAGTCAAGTAGTCTTCCAAATCTTTCTGAAACTTAAATTACACATTAGCAGATACTACTTATAACATGCCAAATTCATTCTCTCTTCCATAACCTGAAATACTAAGACCATTGTACCTAAAGCCAATGATCTGAGAACTGCCTGCATTCTTTTTATATTTCTTAATAAACTCATTTCCTAAAGCATTATCATTGATTTCCCTACTGTCAATATATACACACATACATACATATTCAGGGAAGAACCCAGTCCTTTTTGTAAGAAAAAGGAACAAAATTCCCAGGGGCCATAGATCTTTAGTGAGAGTAAAAAGACTGAACAACGTTTGTACTTCTAAGGTAAAGAATAAAGCAAAGCCCAGAATACATCTCCCCACCTTCTCTGTATTTTACTTTTCCCAGGTAGAGTTGGCTGGAATTCAGGAAAGTTATGGGTGAAGAGGTCAGTTTTGCCTCCAACGGGTGCATAGAGACAAAGACTGTTCAATCCACAAAATATATCCATGATGATGAATAGCAGAGTTGAGTTGTCACAATAGCAACTGTGTAGTCTTGAAGCTACACCTACTTCCATTATTATTATATTTTAATTTATCGAAGGTAAAGCTTTCAACATTATAATGATCTTTCCAGATTTTGTGGTGTTGACTGACTTTAATTATCTACACCATCTGGTTATTATTGTATGCCAAACATTTTAGTTTTTTCTTTTCAAGTTGAATATATATGTGTATATATATGTATATATACATATATATACTCAAATTGAATAAGATATAGAGTAATTAAATGAAGCTAACTAATTTATTTATCACCTCAGATGCTTATTTTGTGGTGAGAACATTTGGAATTTACTCTCAGCAATTTTGAAATGTATAAAACATTATTTATTAAATTCACAATATTGTACAATAAGTCTTACATAAACTACTTCTTTCTGCCTACTTAAGACTTGTACTTTTTTATAGCAATTGTTACAAGAAAAACATCAGAGAATCTATTTTTGTATTTCAAATATTGTCCTTTTGAAAATAGAAAAGAAAATCAAATTAATTTTAAAACTATGGGTTTATTTTGAATTACCACTAATCCATGTTTTTTTTTACACTTTTTTATTGGATATTTTATTTACATTTCAGATGTTATCCCCTTACCCCATTTCTCCCCCCTACCCTGCCCAGGAACCCCCTTTCCCATCCCCCTCGACCTGCTTCTATGAGGATGTGCCCCCATCTAACTTCCACTTCCACCTCCCCACCCTCGAATTCCCCCACACTCAGTGTACAGCCTTCACAGGACCAAGGACTTCCTCTCCCACATATGCCCGACAAGGCCATCCTCCCCTACATATACAGCTGGAGCCATGGGTCCCTCCCTAAGTGCTCCCAGGCTGGTGGTTTAGACTCTGGGAGCTCTGGTTGGTTGGTATTGTTGGTCTCCTCATGGGGCCGAAAATCCATGTTTTAAAATCAGCTCTTTATTTGTTATTCACTAGCTAGAGATTTTGTTTTTGCTTTTCTTTTATTAAATTTTATTTATTTGTTTGTTTGTTTATCGTTCTGTTCATTTACATCTCCAATGATATCCCACTTTCCTGTTAACCCTACACCAACTCCCCATCCCACATCTGTCCTCCCCTCTCTTGTTTGCCTGTATGAGGGTGCTCTCCCACCCACCCACACTCTCCTGCCCTACCACTTCAGCATCCCCCTACCCTGTGGCACCAAACCTTCCTGAGACCAAGGGCCTCCCCTCCCATTGCTTTCAGGCAAGGTCATCCACTGCTACATATGTATCTGGAGCCATGGATCCCTCCAGGTACACTCCTTGGTTGGTGGTCTACACTCTCGAAAAACTGGGTCATCAGGCCAGCGTATGTTGTTCTTCCAATGGGATTGCAATCTCCTCTGTTCCTCTAGTCCTTCTGCTAGCTACCCCACTGGGGTCCCTGAGCTCAGTCTGATGGTTAGCTTCAAGCATTCACATCTACATGGGAGTTGGTGGCCAGACCTCCCAAGGAACCACCATATCAGATTCCTGTCAGCAAGCACCTCTTGACCATGGCAACAGTATTGGGTTTGGTGTCTGCAGATATAATGGATCCCCAGTTGGGGCAGTTCCAGGTTGGCCCTTCCTTCAGTCTCTGTTCCATGTTTTTGTCTTTGTTCTTCCTTTGGACAGGAATATTTCTGGGTTAAAAACTTTGAGACGGGTGAGTGGTCCCATCCAGGACCCAACAGGGATGACTTTAGCTAAAACGCACAGAGAAGGATAAGATAAAACCTGTTGAGACCACCTCCAGTAGATAGGCATGGCTCCTTGTCGAGTTTTTGCTTTTCTTTATTGTCCTTCCTTTGAAGAGTTCATGATAGTAATACTAAGAAAACTGCATTTTTTCAAAACAAGACTTTACACATGGGAAAATCTGTAGATAGCTATATATTTGTATTTACAAATTAACTCCAAAATTGATAAATATTCTTTTTATCTCTACAGATTATAAGCCAGATGTTTACAACTCAAAGCCACCTTTCCTTTGCAATTACAGTGTTTAGATTTTAGGGATGCCTTTCAGAAGACAGCCTATTCATTCAGTAATGAGGTGCAACACTGGATTTGATGGGCTTATAATAAGAAAACACTGAATAAAATGAAATTTTCTAATTTTACCTTTCAGCTATTACTTTGAAAAGGCATGTTTTCATTTCCTGAAGATGAGTAAGCTGATAATGGATTTTATAAATATTTTAAAGCTGCCTATACTTTTCAACATAAGATACTACAGAATAAATAAGAAAAGCAAACTAAACAAAAAAACCTACAAATATTTCCAATAGCTAGAAATATTTCCTTTTAACATCGGATGCATTAGTTTACAAGACTGAATATATTTTCCCAGAATTGCTTTGTGACATATTTGTCCCCTCGCTGCTGTATTTTAATGCATTTGACAACCGTCAACATGGACTCCCTATTCTCATTTCAAATCTCAAATCTTTCCTTTCTTTAAAGTGTGTGCTGCAGTTTGTTTGTGCTTGAATAGACTACAAAATGAACCATAGGTAATAAAGAGAAGCAAATTAGGAGGGGAGTTGAGGAGGAGCATAATGGGAAGGGAGGCAGGGGTAATAATGTGACAGCCACACGAATTTTTGGATATGAAAGATAATTAAGATACAAAACTTGGAGCCGTTTGCTTCTAGAATTAGAGTCAAATAGGACTAAACATCATATATCCTACTTCCTAACTTCATCAGTGTTTAGCAAGTTTTAACATCTTGATCTGGGCACAATGCAGTTATAGGCAGAATCAAGAAGGGAACCCTGCTCTGCTGATTATAAATTCTAATTGGTTTCCTTGAATCTTTAAAGTACAAGGCATTTCAGAGCAAGAGGTATGCACCATTCACCTGAGAAATCAAAAAGATGAGGAGACAGTAGCTCAATGGATATCCTGATTTAAGGCCCAGCTAGAGTTGACTGGAACTCAGGAAAGTTCCATGGGGGAAGAGATCAGAGTTGTCTTCAAGGGGTGCAGAGAGACAAAGACTGTACAACCTGCTATCTTGAAGTTGTTCACTCAAGGATTACTTGTTCTATAACTGTGGAAATACTATAATGAATGCAGCACTAAGTTGCTAATTCATCCATGTGGACTGGTAAATTAAAAGTCTGTGATGCCAAGTATCTGCCCATTTGATGGAAGAAGAACCATTATTTATTCTCCCCTTCCTTCCCCCCCGCCTCCCTCCCTCCCTCCCTCCCTGTCTCTCGCCCTCTCTCTCTCTCTCTCTCTCTCTCTCTCTCTCTCTCTGTGTGTGTGTGTGTGTGTGTGTGTGTGTAATGCAACTCTAAAACATACCAAACTTTAGGTCTTTTTGTTCATCATTATGGTTGAGAGTCCATTGTTTGTATTATAACATTTTTACTTAAGATTAGCATCATTGTTAGAGGGAGTCAGAATCTGGAAGATAAATACTCAGAATCTGGAGGTTGGAAAATAGAGAACAATGGCTTATAATGAAATGTTAAAACATGTAAAGCTACCAATGAATATTCTTCATTAAAATAAAGTGTTGCCCTGGGAGCTTAGATTTCAATATTTGAATCAATAAATTCGCTAGTGCTAAGTGGACATTTTGTCTCTCAAGGATTACAATGCACAGATTTTAAAGTAGGTTTCACATTCTTTTTTGTTAAGACTCACCTTGACTTTATCCTGTCCAATGGACCTGAAGAACTTTCCAATGGATGTCCAGACCTGTACAATGCAGCTGGAGAGTTGTAAGTCATCACTATTAATTTACCACTTGCTTGTTTTAACCACTGTCTTGCCTCTTAGTGTGTCAATAAGGAATAAGTACTAGCAAAGGCCATTCTCAACCAATTGACCAGCGTCGAAGGTCTTACTAGAGGATCGCTATTTAATAGGAAAAGTTCATTATCAATACAGAAAGAGAATCTTTCAGTTCAAAATGTTAAATAATTTCCTTCCTCAAAAAAGAAAGAAAAAAACACCCAATTCTGATTTAGCAAGATTTTCTATGAAATAAATTTTTCCTTGCATAGTTATGGTTATTAGCCACCTTATGTTTATAAAGAATTACTATTATATACTGAAAATATACAGAAAACTGTATTTCTTTCTGCTGTATACTCATCAAGACCAATGTATCCAAAGGGATACTGGAAGGAAGAGATGATTGCTTTGAGAACAAAAAATAAAGCCTTTAGACATAGGTGGATTCAAAAGGGAGAGGCACAAGGACTCAAACCCAGCAGGAGTGTGATTGCCTAAAGTGCTCAAGGCTCTCAATTTGATCCTCAGCAATACATGAATAAAAGGTTGAAGAGCATAAGTTGACAAGGAAGAAGAGTTGGCATCTTTCTTAGATAAGCAATGTATACACTAGGACATGATGAAAGAAATAGGGAAATGTCATCTATTTTGTCCCCTTTATTCTCTGACTCTGCTGCCACTGAAATTTTTGACATCTGCCATAAGTTTACTCATGCCTTCAAGGTAATGGGATTTTCCATGAAGAAACATGAAATTTCCTCTGGCTTGTTCTTGTCAATTTCTCTGTTTACAGAATCCGAAAAATAATACTGAGTGCTACCGACTTACAGACATTTTAGGAGATTTAATGAGGCAAGGGGGAAGAAAATATTTTAACTTCTTGGTTTAGAAAAATAGTAAGTGGAAAAAGACTCATTGAATACCGTTTTTAAAAGAAATAGTTGACAAACTTCTTTCTGATAACTTAAAGTCACTACATGTGTCCCTTGAAACATCTAACAAAAATAAAGAAAATAGCAAATCACCTTTTGTTTTCAGATGTTGTCAGAGATAAAATGAGAATTTTTTATTTATATGTTATATGTATTTATTCATTCCATGCTGTCTCATCTCTTGAGAAGAAGATTGAGAAAAATTTTTTATACATGAGTGTCTCCTCCTACTACTCTATAGCTCCCTAGCCTCCACCCAATCATTGCATTTTCTCTGTAAAGCAGGACCCAGATCTATCAGTGGAGACTCTTCTAAAGCATGAAAGCTTTAAATTGTAGATTTGTTTTGTCCCTTTATATATTTTTTGGAGGTAGTTAGGATATGTTCGTACAGATTGGCAGTGGAAGAGATTGGTTATCCATTGCTTTTGTGGACACTCAATATTTGAGCCGGATCCACATTCCAGTTAGATGCCTTCTACAGTTTCATTTTTGCCTTTAATGTGTTCCAAAGAATCTAGACACCAAGTAAATTTGCTGTTGATTTCTAGGTAGGGTTGATGTGGTAAGCAAGAATAAGAATTTATAAACTTAATAAATATGCTACAGTTATTAGCCAACTCAGTCTTCACAGAATATCATTTGTCCTTATCAGTCTGACATCCATAGTTCAAATATCAAACAAAACAAACCACAAAAACAAGGAGGTCAGAGAAATAATGAGTGAAAATAAGACTAGCTGTCTATTTCTGGGATGGAGACATATGCAGGCAAATTGACAAATAATGATCCAGTTGGGCAGACTCTGAGAGATAAAGAGAGAACTTTGGTTTACTAAACCATTAACTACCATACTTTCTATGATTTCTATGATTCTAGTAATGTAACAATAGGACCTTACAAAGTAAAGAGCCTGTTTTTCTTTGTGTGAATAATGAGTGGGGGCAATTTAGCAATGCATTAGAATATATAACTGTTCTTGTGGGGTTCGTTTTTGTTTTTGAGATATGGTCTCATGTAACCTTGTATGACTATGTGGTCAAGGATGATCAGGAACTGCTGCTAATCTTCCATCCTTCACTTCTCAAGTTCTGGGTCTACAGGCATGTGTCACCACTTGTTATTTTATGTGGTGCTGGGGGTTGAAAGTAGGACCTTGTCCATTTTTGGCAAGCTCTGCATCAACTGTGTTGCAACCCCCAGCTCCTGTATCATTGTTCTCGGTATACATATCATACAAGGTCCTCTTAAATGACTTGCCCATAGCCCTTCACACTTGCTAAAACAACTGAGAATTTACTCTCAGTAATTAACAAAAGTCTGCTTCAAAGAAAGCTAACACTCCAGAAGAGGCCAAATGTGCAATGGTAATACTTGCAGGCAGACGTATAATGAATTGATTCTCATTAAACATTTCAAAAGAAGTGGTTTCATTTGAAATACTAAGACGGCACCATGAATTGGATTGTCTTATTGAACTGCCACAAACATAGCTCTTTCAAGTGAAGAAAATCTTCAAAGGATTTTTGTGCTTGTTTACTTGTTTGTTCTTCAGAGAGAGTTAGTGAATAAAGAGACTAGAGATAAAAGATTCTATAGATTCCTTTCTCTCATTATACACACAAAAAAGATTAATCAGAAATACCTTGCTGTGTTCAGTTTCTCTGCATCTGATGACACGTAGTTGTGATGACTACAGCATGTCGTATTAAGGCTACACCTGAAATGATTCCCCTGCTTGCCCACCTCTGTTATTACATTTTGAAGTTTCTCAGAAAAGATACATTGTTTGTTACTACTTCTTTCCTCCAGTTGGGTACACCATGAATGACCTGATATTTGAGTGGCTAAGTGATGGTCCAGTACAAGTTGCTGAAGGACTGACCCTGCCCCAGTTTATTTTGAAAGAAGAGAAGGAGCTCGGCTATTGCACAAAGCATTACAACACTGGTAAGATTTGCATTCACTTGCTAAACCCAAGAGCTCTCCATTTGTCTATGAGAAAAGCTATCCTATTATCTTAATAGTTGCTCATTTATGAAGCAAATCAAACTTAAGAGAACCTTCAACATGTAGGGTTCCTATACCCTGTGGAATAGGCTTCTGAGTGCAGCAAATCATCTCCCTCAAACACAGAATTAGGAATCTTTTGCTCTTCTCTTACTGAGAGCCTGCTGTCGAATGAGTCTAAGGAAAGGTGGAGAAGACCTCATTAGTTGTGCAGAAAACATAAAACCTTGGCTTCCTTCTACTCTTCACATTGCATCATATCAATTTGCACTCCTGGCCTTAGTGGAAGAAAGTGATAATGACACAGGTCTGTGGAAAACCAGAAATAGAGATGTGCTCTGAGGTCCTGGAAAGCAGTACCAGTCTCAGTGAGCATCATCTGGAGAGAATTCAGCTGGCTCTAAATTCAGGCGCTATCTTTAGAATGGAAAGGCATATGAAATGGGCAAGGTTGAAGTAGTGGCAACAGGTGGGCATCTGTTGTTGCCTGGAAGATTATACCTGACCAGGAAAGCCGTTATCTTTTATTCCAAATATCTTTTGATAACGTGAAGTGTGATGGTAGGAAGACAGTCATCACAAATTGTCTTGGGTTTCTTGTTAGTAGAACATTCCACAGCAGCATCACTGGCTTCCTATGATGTAACTAAAATCTGATTCCAAGGTATCCAAGACTTCAACTCAATCTTCTATCTTTGTAGGGGATAATCCTAATGACTTTTCAGGGTCTAACTCAAAGTCAATAAAGGAGAGAAGAATGCAGAAAGAGGAAAGAATATCTACTTAATAATAATGTTGAAAGTTGTTGTACATTCCTATGTACTCTTTTAGTTATAGATGGAGCAACACTACAGATTCTAAGAAGGAATGCTCTAAGGTTCTTCAAGCAATTCCCAAAAGGCTAGAAAGTTTCCCCAAAGAACAGAGTGTACATATACTCTCTAAATGTACCCCTTGGTTGTACCATTGAAAATCCAAAGATATACAACTATTCAAACACTCAGGATATTCTCCTTGCTTCTTAGAAGTTACTGAGTGGTTAGGGAGATAGTTTAATCAGTAAAGTGCTTGTCATGCAAGCATGTAGACTTGAGTTCAGTCCCCAGGGTGCAGGGAATGGTGACATGTGCTTATAGCTTAAACAGTGGGAAGATAGACACAGATAGCCAGCCAAGAGACTGCCTCATAACTCAAGGATGAAGGCGTTTGAAAAATGACACTTGAGGCTGACATCTGGCTTTCATATTCATGAGCACACATATGAACCTTAACACAAGCATGCTCTCAGTCTCCCTATGTCTCTCTCTGTCTCTCCTCTCTCTCTCTCTCTCTCTCTCTCTCTCTCTCTCTCTCTCTCTGTCTCTGTCTCTCTCTCGATTACAATTGTTTCATATTACTTGATATGCTATATGTTACATAGTATATAGTGTATATATTAATGGTTGCGTATGATGTTGTATATAACACATGATGTTGCATATAACACAAACATTCTTGAAAATTTTTGTCAATCTTAAAAATGCTAGAGTTCTATCTAGAAAATTCTGTGACAGATCCAATTATATGATTTCAGTATGAAGGCTCTTTAGCCCTCTCATGCTTACACGATCATTTCCATTCTAGAAGAATTCAATAAGTAGGAATTGATTGAGTAGGTTGAGCATTTGTCTACCATCTTTCCAATCTGCTTGTGATGTTCCTTACATTTCAAAATAAAATAGAAGAGTAGAATTGGAAAAAATGAGTTCAAATAATATGTCAAATGATCCTTTTCTGCTTCCAGGCAAGTTTACCTGCATTGAGGTCAAGTTTCACCTGGAACGCCAGATGGGCTATTATTTGATCCAGATGTACATCCCCAGCCTGTTGATAGTCATTTTGTCCTGGGTCTCCTTTTGGATAAACATGGATGCAGCCCCTGCCAGGGTTGCCCTTGGCATCACAACAGTTCTGACAATGACTACCCAGAGTTCAGGTTCCAGGGCATCTCTGCCAAAGGTAAGAAATAACCTCACTCAGCAACAAGTGACCTGAGAGGCTCTCCAAAGTTCTTCTGGAAAACAAAATTCTGTGAGAATAGAAATTTTGCTTTTCCACTATGCTGTTGGAAAGATGAATCCATTAAGAAAATAAAATGCTGAGTTTGAGAGTATCGAAGCTCTGATAATAGATCCTCAAAGTCAGGTCTATTTTTATGTAAGAACGGGCTTCTGCTGGAGTAAATTCTGCTTAGATAATGAAAAATGTCCTTCTTATGAAACGCCCCAGCTCCCTAGAATTGTGTGTATGTGTTTTCTCATTTTTGAAGACTACATTGCTCTATTGGCTTTGGTTTACTGAGAGTGTGAATTCTACTTAGTATTCAGCATATTCAGTTTCCTGGTGATTGAATGGCCTCTCCAAAAATTTCAGTTCCATAAGATAATTGGGATGTAATCCCTTATCATTTTTTTTTTTGGTTTGAGCTTATGTTTGGTTGTGTTGCATTTAATGTGATGAGAAGTATTAGAGTATGTTCCATGTTAAAGTTGGTGTTTGCAACATAAGATCACAATGTAGTTGAGGCTTGTGGTTATAACATAGGTGGAATAAATACCAGAAAAATAATTGTGCAACTTAATTAAGTATCATACTTCTGAAGATAAATTCGAGGTTTTTATATTCAAATGGAAGCAGGTGACCTATCTCTGACATCCTTTGAAACATTTTGTGGAATAACAAATAGAATAAATGTACTTGTGTCATATGCTTACTAAAATACAGATGTCAAAAATACTCATGGCTTTTTCAACTACATAATCACAGTTCCAATTTAGTTAATAGAAATTCTAATTTACTCGATACCCTCATGCCAAACTGGTTCATTTGCTTCTTTCTCTCTAGCTATTACTTACCACTTACCACTCTCATTGCACACCATTAAACTGCAGGATGCACAAACACGTTTTACAATTTAATAGACAGCTAAAGTATTGGTGACAAATTGTGAGCAGACAATGTCAAAACATAAGACATTTAGATTCCAACTGCCCCGTTGCTATGAAAAGAGTCATCACTTACTTGCAAAATGAGATTTTCAGTTTTGTAAATATGTTATTCAGTCTATGGAGCTATTATGATTCTCTATCAGCAGGCAAAATTATTACTAAGTAAATGGTCACTGATCAGTGATAATTTTTCTATAGAGACAATGAGGAACTCAGATAAACCAAGAGGGTACAATTTAAAATAATTTTATACTTTGTTTTGAACACATAGTGGTTAACATGTTGCCAGAAGTAGACCTCTCCTGGTACATGTGGTTTATTTTTTGTCTATTATTAAACATGGCCAACTCTCAACTGACCATGAAGAGATGTGACTCATATTTATGCTGGAGAGGCACTAAAGTGGGATTAAAGCATGAGTCATGGAAAATGAAAAATCCTTACCATGTACTTACTTATACATATACATAAATATTCATTGATTTATAAACACTACAGTTCCTGACCAGATGGTCCAGTTTTGACTAGTCCAGGTGCTTGAGGGCCTACTTTGACATTCTGTACTGAATATGCACGTACATTTTACATGCTTCTGGAAAGATAGAAGCAGCATTAATATTAACTGTCTAGTACATAACGGTTATTAAGAAATTAATTTATGTTATTTACCTTCAGTTCTGTTTACATTTGTGGACAATGCTCCACATGCATAGAGAATTTAGGTCCAAGTTTTATGTCATTTTATACTATATCATATCTCATGGTCCTAAAAATCAATTATGAATGTATCTTTATTGCAGTGGCAGAGGTCGAACCTAGTCTTTCTTACATACATTAGGCAAACACACTATCACTCATGCATATCCTTACTCCATGCTCAATCTCTGATGATTTAGTAATAGCCAACTTGATGTCTCAATTGCCATTTATTTTACTATCTTATCTCCTGAGGAGCTTCTCTCCTGCTTATATAAATACGGTGATGATAAATACATTTACATGTGACTATATCGAATGTTCTGAGTAGAGTGAATAGAGGGATACAGACAGGATGGTAATCAAAAACATGTGCAAACCATGTGTGCAAGAACTTTGTCATCCACATTGTATTAATCTCAGTGCCTAAAATATGTGTGGCTGAAGTTAGATGATTAATGTGTCCTTACTCCTGATTAATAAATCAATGAACACTCATGTCCCTCCTACATTAGACCATACATAGCATAGAGCATACCCAGTTTGGGATATAAGGATGAAACTTTACATAAAACATTCAAAAAGTATTTTATTAATTTTTCAACAGTTTGGCAATACACATAGTAAAGTTTAATCACTGTCAACTCCCCAGTAACCTCTTTCAGCACCCCCTCTCCTCCTGAAACTAGTTTTCTCCCAACAAGCCTGACATCTACTTTAATGTCTTTATTTATTGTGTGAACCACTGAGTTTCATAAGGATTGCTTCCATTAGCATGGGTTGGAAGGATTTCATGAAGCTTGGGTAACAGAGAGTTCATGAGTGCAATGGCTAGAATTTTAATACAAGGGAAATGTTGTAATATTATGACATGTGACATAAAGATATGTGACTTGTCTAATATCATAGACCCCCCACCCTGCCCTTTCCTAAAGTATTTAATCAAGCTCTGAAAACTTTAGAACACGTGTATAAATATACATTGTGAAATGTAGGCAGACCTGGATTTCAATCCTGGTGCAAGTATTCTTCCCCACATCTCTAAGCCTGTTTACTCATTTCTAAAATAAGAACATCTTTAGTTGCCCTTTTCAAATATTAAATGAGGACAAGATGAAGCACTACCTGTATAAATTGTTTATTCCAGTTTATACATGGTAGGCACAGAACTTTTTCAAGTTATTGTTATTTTTTTCTATTCATACTGTGGTAGAAAGGACTGTTCACTGAGATGGCAGTTTGTATTAGATTATTCATAAAGACCCATATGAACAGAAGGTGCCAAACATTTAGATGACTCATTATTGGCAACATGTAAGATAAACCAAGGCTGATCACATTTATGACGTACAAAGCATATGTTTGCATGTATGTACATTCTTGTGTTTTTAATAGTTTATCTTATGAATAAGTTAAGATCAAGAAGATCTGAATATGCAGTGATCTGGCTGTTTTGCAATCACTGTCGTTGAACACATTCATTTGGCTCTGTCTTCCTTTTCTTTGGAGGACACCGGAAGAATCCATAGATTGTTGGTAGCAACATGTCACCCTGAAACACACATGCACACACACACACACACACACACACACACACATGAACACACATGTATACAATATACAATAAACTTTATAATTTAACAGACAGCTAAAGCAAATATGACATATATATTAAAATAGTGCAGTTTTAAAATTTTTAAAATTTTTTAAAAATGATAAATCTGTAACAAAAGCCAGTCCCACAACTCATTCAAACACTCTTTTTCTTTCTTTTCTTCTAGCTTAGTCTTCATCTTCATCTTAAACATGTGCAGCAATGTAGAAAACACAGTTTCTTCACAGTTCTTCCAATAGTGTTTGAATTTCACCCACTCCTGTGGCTAATTTGAGAAGGTCTAGGAAAGAGTAAATGGTTTCGTCTGACTGAATGTTATATTTTAGCTAGAGGTAACTTTTAATAGCTAAGCTGCAAGCATTGATATGCTTGACCTGAACTCAAGTCTTTCAGAGATTCTAAGTTATGCCACATACCACATCATTCCAGGTGACTAGTAAATTGTTCTGCAATGTCATACCATCTTCTCGTAGCCACCACCTCCAGCACTATGTCCCAGACATTTTCTTGTTCCTAGGATTCACGTATTTAAGAAGACATCCCTACTGTCTGACATGCTGCCTTTGACTCATGTTTAGTTATCTTGCTTACCATTTATTTGGTTTATAAAAAAAACCACAAGTTTTTTCCTTGCTAAATACAGATAAACCAACTATTAACCTTTCTACTTTTACCACATCATGTTGGGTATTATAGCTAAACTACTGTCTTCATATACATCCCAAACTATGGAGGGCACATGAGAGTTTCTCAGAATTCTTCCTTTCTGAACCTTGCAAACTTATTGTAATTTCAGCAGCTCAGCAAAAATATGACATTTGGAAAATATATGAGTCTCTTTTATCACAAAAGTGAGAGTGAAACACCTTCTTCCATCCTTAGGAGAATAGGAAGGATGCCACAGCACTGACATCATCACAAAATTCCATTACTTCAATTAGTTATTTTTGACCGTTATTTTTTCTGTTATTTTTTTTCTTTTTTTTTTTTTTTTTTTTATTTTTAAAAGTTCCTTTTTAATTTTCTTTTTTTTATTTCTTTTTTTTTTGAACATGAAATGCTTTTTTTTATAGCATGTTTTACAAGGGGAGGGGGTAAGAGGGTCCAGGTGGTGGAAAAGTACAAAATCTTCTTGGCCTGTGCCTTGAAACATGTCATGGTCTATATGGTACACTGCCTTGAATTATGATCTACCTGCAGTTCTTCAGAAGATATGGTACAATGCTTGAGTTATGGTCTCCCTGCTATTCTTAAGAAGACATGGTACTCTGCTTTGAGTCTATCTGCAGTTGCTAAGCAGGATCTTGCAGTTGCCAAGCTTCAGAGGACATTGTGCAGGTGGGGAAAGGTAGGGGGTAAGGGTAAGGGCGAGGGTCCTGGCTTCTGGCATCTCCCCCTTCTCTGTTTAGTTAGAGAAGGCGTCTTATGTTCAATTTTTCTGTTATTTTTGAGATTATAATATAGTTACATAATTTATCCATTCCTTTTACTCCCTCTAAATCCTTTAATCTACCCGATCTTATTTTCTTTCAAATTCATCGCCTCAATTTTCTTTAATAATTGTATGAGAATATGTTCATGCATATGCATATATATTTCTAAATATAATGTGCTCAGTATGTATGATATTACTTGTTTGTATGTTTTCAGGGCTGACCATTTAGTATTAGATAACCCATTGGTGGTCTCTTCCACAGAGA